GTCGAATGTAGAGGGAGAGCCACCGTTTGGTTGCCAATTGTTTATCACATAGAGACGGCCTACATCCACGTAAAAAAGAAAAAAAATGTAGGGTCGATTCCACAAGTGTCAGTAAAATGTAGGGTTGATTCCACTAGAGACAGTAAACAGGAGTCCCTGATTCTACGAGTGTCAGGTTTAGCTTCCTTGCCGTCTGACACTTGTGGAGAATACACTGTATAAGGATATTTCGTTCCAAAACTGTGCCGTACTTAGGAGCGACAGGCCTGGTGGAACATCGCATGGTAGGGTGACCATCACCATACGCAGAAACCTCAACTTCACTCCTTTTGTTCTTCAGGCCACTGGGGCTGTAAATCTGTTGCATTCAACTAAAACCTTCAAATCTCATCATTATATCGGCGTATTATCCCCCTTCGGTTAGAGTCACGGGTGAAATTTTAGACAAATGCACTTGTCATTGCTCCACAATTATTGTTATTGTCGATTTTAATGCAAAACACCAGCTCTGGAACAATCACTCCTATAATAGAAACAGCTCAGTGCTTAAGAAGCATGCTGATCAAGGTACATATGATATACAGTACCAAATGGTCTTCCATCTACACTTGACCTTTTCCTATCTAACAACAGCTGTAACTTTGTCTGTAAAGTGGTAGACGAACTCATCTCCGATCATCTCCCAGTTATACTAACAACCAATCTCAAGCAGCTGCACAATAACCACTACTTCCATTCCAGATACTGACTGGGAGATCTACCACAAGAAAACAATTCAACGTTCAATTATTCATACCATCTCCAGTCCCCATGAAGTCAACCAGGCCATTAGCTCTCTCAACAAGTCGCTTCGTGATTGTTATTTTAAATCCATCCAATTGGTTCACACCAGCAACAAATTCGTAACAGCGGATTTTCAACTCAAAATTTTTAAAATTTTAAAATCTGCCTCCGTAACTCTAACTCTACCAGAAGAAACTATCAGAGGACGGGTAATCCAATCTACTCGCGATACTGTAAGGATCTTACATTCCAGATCAAAAAGATCATCGCACTAAAAGCTCAATACATACATAAGCAAATTAAAAAAGCATACTTTTTGACCTATTTATAAGAAATTTACCAAAAAGAAAACCGCAATTCCGCCTCTGCGACACAATGACCCACTTCCGTCGAAACAGGTTAATTCGTGGACGAATGGGTAAGTTTTACATAAGTAATAAAATACTACATTCCTTCCGGATAACGAATAAAAGTATAGAACACAGTTATTAAACGACTTACTGGTTATTCATGAAAAAAAAAAAATACGTTTTGTAAATCTATGTCAATTATATACACGCTGAAAATTTCATCAAAATCGGTGTATGGAGAAACAAGCGACAGGCATCGAAAGATGTAAGAATCTGCAGATTTGTTACAGTTTTAGGCCGAAAGTCGTGATAGTGCGATTTTCACAATCTTTAACCGTTTGTAGCTCATAGCAACATTAACCGATTTCGATGAAATTTTCAGCATGTGTATAATTGACATAAATCTACAAAACGTATTTTTTAAATTTTCATTACGAGCTCAGATAAAACAGTGGTAATAACGACCTTCGCTATTTTCTTCGCGATTCTGATTAATTGCAGTTTTTTCAAAAATTTTTGTACACGTCATCTAGTAAACTAATCTTTCTAACATCTCAAAAAAACTGAAGTCGTTTGGCCCAATTTTAAAAAAGTTATTCCATTTTATAAGGAGCATGAATACTTTTGTCTTGTTATACAAATATCGGAATGACGGCAAAAAACCATTTCTCTAAGCCTTATAAAAATAGCGGTGCAAAGTCAAATTTTTTTGACAGCGATCGATAACCGAGAAGCACGCGTACGTGTTGTTCACGATCACGCGCGGATGAGTCGCTGCGCTTCGTGCCTGGGCGCGGGCTCTACGCGCGCTTTGATTGGCCAGTGTTTTGCGTTAATAATTCAAAAATGAAGCTTCAAACAGCACTTTGCTTCGAAGAGTTACGGGACACCCTGTATACGCGAGTACATATTCCTATGTCACGGATACCCGCCTGAGCCCGCTGGACTTTTGCCGGCCCGACCCGAACAGTCGGGTGCCCGACGCATTGGGCAGCCCGAGGGGTCAAGCGCTTTGATCCACGTCCCACGATTCTGGCATCACTGGATGCGTACTATCCGGCAAAGCAAAGTGAAGTCTTAGGCGGAATTTAGGTCCTAGAAGTAGGAGATGTAGGGGAACTTGCGACGGCTTGCTGTTAGTAAGCCAATAGGGATAGAATAAGGCTATCGCAGTTACTCTTAGGTCTTCCCTTATAGTCAGCCAATCACTGTAGAATAAGGCTATCGCACTTACTCTTCTATGAACAATAGGTGACGATCGTGTCTCGCTTGAGCAGTCGGTATTTGACCGGACTACATAATAATTTCAAGCGCTCGGAAAAAAAAGAAAGTTTACATTGCGTAGACACCATAAACAGGTGAACAGAGTCCTGTGCGACGCCAAACGACGTGCATCATGGTAAACTTTACTTTTTTTTCCCATGTTCCCAAAATTTGTCTATTATTTTGATAAGCTTATTTTACAGGTTAAAATTCAAGCAATCCAATGGTATTGTTACCAAATTATTCTATGAGTGGGAACAGTGTCAAATCAGCAATTGAAATTTTAACAGCGATTATTGTTATGTTTGCTAATAACAAATAAAATTCTGTATATACATATTCAGAAAGATTATTTCTTTACTTTTTAAATGAGCTCAAGGTTAAAGTATTATTTTTAAACAAAGCCGAAATATTACGGTTAAAGTGATAATATGTCGGCTGATTTCTTGAAATGTTTCAAAACTTTAACATTAAATAGTGGTGGTTTTATGGCTTTTATTGGCTATAAAAAGTGGCTGTCGGTCTCTGGTGGCACGCTATTTTTCATTGTAGCCAGAAATTTTTTGGTTTCATAAGCAATTTTTTAATGCACCGAAATCTACCTTTATTATTCAGGAATAACAAAAAAATATTTACATTTCAGTTTTACAACTGTTAAAAAATATTAATACATTTCTTGAGGTTTCCTTTACAATAACAATTTATTGTGTATGAGTCGCTTAGAAATTAATGTCTGCGTTATTAAATATATGTCTTACGCATCAACATAGGTAAGTGGATATGGCGACTAAATAATTTTTAGTTTTCCGTTCTTTTATCAGCGTGGTACATTATCGACAGCTGACTTAAATTCATTTGTCTAAACCATTTACCTACAACGCAACTTCCCCTCAAGCGCCTACAGTGTAAGACCCAAGAGTGTGGTGACGATTTGACTCGCATATTTTGCCTTCATCTTTCCAGGCTGTGACGTCAGAGACTTCACGTTTGCTTTGCAGGACTATATAATATATATAGGTTTGTTGTATCGATAGCACGTGAAATGTGTGTAACCTCATTGTTATTTGTACACATCTAAAAAGAACGATGAAAGTTCAGAAGAAAACTACAAAAAGAAAGTTGAATAATCTGAAAACTGAAAATCATGTTAGAGAGAAAGAAAAGGATTTAACAAAACTTGAACTTGAAGAAAAATCGGTAACATTTCTTTTCTCCACGTATCCTAACCTATAAAAATAATGTATTTTCTAACAAAATTTGATTATATAAAATTTAATGAAACAAAGTTTAAT